TGTTCCCATCTCTACTTACTGTCAATCTGTATGTTGAAATCCTAACCGCTAGTGTGATAGTATTAGAAAGCTGGTATTTGTAGATGATTAGGTCCTGAGGTAGAGCCTTCATGAATGGAATTAGGCCTTTATAAAAGAGAGCTCCTTTGCCCTTCTGCCATGTGAGAACACAGCAAGAAGACAGCTGTCTGTGAATCAGGAAGAAGGTCCTCACAAAACATTAAATTTTATCTAGGAGTTTCCAGTGTTCAGAGCTATGAGAAATAAAATTTTGTTGTTTATAAACCACTCAGTCTCTGGTAGTTTGTTAGAGCAGCCAAAACCAACTCAGACACAGAGAGAATGGTAGTCTGAAAACCCAACTCAGGGAAGGGTGAACATTTCCAAGAAGAATTGTCCATTATATTAAATGCTGCTGCTAGGTTAAGTAAAATAAGGAGATTCAACACAGGATCTACTGCAGGATTGCACAAAAGATTTATGAAAGTCATTGATGAGCCATTTCTGTGGAGTAGTTGGGGAGAAAGCCTTATAAGTGTCAAATTGAAAGAGAATGAGAAAAAAGCAAATGGAAACAATGAATGCATGCTAGTACTTTGAGTAGCTTTTTAAAGAAAAAAAATATAGAAACAAGGTTTTAATTGAAGGAAAAAATGAGGCTGAGAGATATTTTTAGATTGGACGAAATGCAAAATGGTTGTATGTTTCATGAATGATTTGGCAGAGAGGAAAAAATGAAGTAAAGGGAGAAATTGCTGGTACAACATCATTGAGCAGATGAAGCAAATGAGATCTAGCAGGTAATTAAAGGTATTAGGCTTAAGTAGGAACAATGATCAGGTATAAAACCATCTTTGTAGGGCTATTTATAATAATAGAAAAATTGAAAACTTTTTAAAGATCTTTCTGCCATTTTACATTATTTTTCTGAGAATAAGCAATACAGAAAATACTTTTTTCTATTTTTAGTGAAAATATAATTAAATTGCATACATGTTAATGCATTTTCTCATTTCTGTAGTATAAAATTATTGTATTCTGTAATTTAAAAACAAAAAACAATATCTACTAAAATTTAAAATTTAAATTTCTTTAAAATTACCCAGAATGAGGGTTTTAGACAAGTGGGTAATCTGCTAACAAAAGGATTTTTTAAATAAATTCCTTTATAATTTTTCATTTAATTTGAGTAAAATTTTCTTTTCATAAAAATATATCTTTGTTAATTTCTGTACTACTTGAATAGATGTGTAAATGAAATTAATTGCACTAAAGTTTGTTCTTTTGTGCCTTTTCTAAGTTTTCATATTCATGGGATATTTATCAGTCTAAGACGTGATGTGAAGTCTGAATTCAAACTTCTAAGTGCACAATTTTCGTCAAAAGAATTTCAAAGCAATAGAAAGTAAATGACTCAATTGAATTAATTAGTACTATCACACATATGCATCAATTTCTAGTTTATAAAATAACAGTCAAATAAATGTTTTGTTAAAATATAGTTGACTTTAATAAAAAGGTGTTAATCTATTGTAATAAACAATAAGAATCTCAATTTTTAAATTAGAACTGAAAATAAGTAATAAACTAAACCTAGAGAGTGATTCCAATTCTCGACATGTTCTGGATTTATACATGGTAATATTTTATCTCACTTATATTGTCTTACCCAATTCTGCTATTAAAAATTCACTCTGAAACTAATCTCTAATTGAGATTTTTCAAGCAATTATGTAACCTGCAAAAATTAAAAATTATACTCATAAAATGAATTGTGTTATTGAACTTCAATTAATTTCAGCAGAATTTTTGCTTTTTTAAGAGATATATTTAAATCTTTTCTAATATGTAAAGGATTTTATAACGTGAAATTCATTGAAGTTTCTTCTATTTAGCTTTTTAAAATATTCTCACATAGTCACTATCTAATTTAAATTTCTGAAAATCAATATATTTGAAGCAAATAAAAAGTCAATATATTTGGCTTGATCATTGTATTTGAAGCCTTATCTAAATCTTAAAAAAAATTTTTGGTCAGGAGACTGATTCAACAAAAGAATGTGAATGAATCAATAAAATTTACTGTTATTTTAAAAGAATATATACATATTCTTTTCACTGATAACAAGTCAATGAGGAAAATTTTATGTCTAGATAAAAATTAGTGATTTATGAAAAGAAAATCCAGCTTTTCCATTTTGCTAATTTATTCAATAAACATTTACTAATATATTATTAGATGCCAGATTCTATGGGTGAAACCTGAATAATATACAATTAAATAAATCATTGCCTTCTTGAAACTCATAATGTAATACTGAGAGTTTTCAGTTGAAATTATAAGTGAACTTTTATAGATTAATAAACCTTCTAAAATTGTATGCACATTTTTTGTTATGAGCATACACACATTTTCTCCCTAGCTTTTATTAGATCTTCAAAAAGATCAATGATGGTAATCCAATAAATATCAATAACTAGAAGGAGCAAAAGAGACAAACAGCTTAGCTAATAATTGAAATAAAATGGGCAAAATAAGATATATGCCAAAAGCAACTCTGACCTTCCTCCACCCATCAAAAATGGGGAAAGAACTAATTCTATCTGGGAAACTCAAGAGAGAATTTACCAAAAAAAAAAGAAAATAGCAAGCAGACATTACAAACGTGGGTGTACAATTTAAGAAGCCTCCAGATTTTTGCAAATATAATTGTATGGGCCACCCGTACTGGATAGTTGGGGATCTTTGTGGACCTAAGACATTAAAAACGTATAACTATCTCAATGGCAGATCATACATTTAAGTAATTTTCAAGTATAACTGAATTGCAATTCTGAATCAATATCATGCATTTCTAGAATTATCTTTTTCTGTTAAAAAAAAAAAAAGTAAAATGTTTATGGTAAACATGTTCTCAAGAGTCACCAACTTAAACTTACTAAAGTCATGAGAGAGTGCCATATTAAAATGAAAGAACAAGTTAATAATAAAGAGACCTAGTAATTTATTAACTTATCAACTTAAAAGTAATTTCTTTAAAGAGGGAAAATTATCAAAAAAGTATTTATTGAAAAAGGTTTTTAATTATCCAAGGAAATAATTTGGTGTTGAGAAGCCAAAAAAAATTACAGACTCAGTTCTCAACAGAAATGTTATCTTGAGGTTCAGTAAATATAGGATATAAAAGTTTGAAATTTCAAGAATACCTTAATAAACAACACTATAAAACCCATAAATGTGTTCTCTGACATGGGAAATAATTTTGCATAATAAATGCCTATCATAAAGTATAAATATATGACATTAAACTCATAAAATATTAAGAAAGTAAAAGCAAGAATATCTTAAATACTAGAAAGATTAGTGGGAACATCCTTTACATAGAATGCATCACAAAATGAAAAAGGATACCATTAGATTGGCTGACATTTATTATTTGTGGATAATATTAAAATGAGTTTTTTTAAGGAGAGAAATTGCTCAACTAAAGATGTAATATGATTTAATATTATCAAACTATGAACAACTAAAATACCCAACTTATCAAGACCAATACCTTGTTAATCAATACTTAATGACCTTCCCTTACTGTGCTCATCAATCTAAAGTAAACAAACGTCATAAATTTTGTCCAGTCCTCATCAGTTCCCCATTTACAAGACTTGCCTTAAGTCACCTAGCATAGATCCTAAAATCATATAAATACCCTCCCTTGACTTCCACCTTCGAAAATAGTACTAATACTCTCGAGAGATTCTCCCTTTCTGAAGTAAGTCTAATAAAATTAGCTTTGCTTAACCAGCAGGCATTAGTCATTGTCTTTTGGAGGAATCAACAGCCAACAGGATAACAATTCTTCAGTTACTCATTTTCATTTCTTTTATTTTCTCCTTGGATGGAATGCTGAAAAGTATTTAGATTGTGACATTTTATTTTTATTTACCTTTTTTTTCTTTTTCTTTCTCTCTCTCTTTTTTTTTTTTTTTTGAGAAGGAGTCTCACTCTGTCATCCAGGCTGGAGTGTAGTAGTGAGATTTTGGCTAACTGCAACCTCTGCCTCCCAGATCCAAGCAATTCTCCTGCTCCAGCCTCCCGAGTAGCTGGGACTGCAGGTGCATGCCACCATGCCTGGCTAATTTTTATATTTTTAGTAGAGACAGGGTTTCATCATGTTGGCCAGGCTGGTTGCAAACTCCTCACCTCAAGTATCTGCCCGCCTCAGCTTCCCAAAGTGCTGGGATTACAGGCATGAGACACTGTGCCTGGCCTTAGATTGTGACATTTTAAGTAAGAAGAAAAACAAATATTCAATATAAATAAACTTGTCATTAGCCCCAAAAAGGAACACTCATTTTGGTTTGCACTCAGAATTAATTCTTAAATTAATTGTTACATATCACTATAAAATATTTTACTTTCAATAGTTAGTAGGGTAGGAATGGGGAACCTATTTCATTCTAACTCTCAAAAGGGCAATAAAGGACTATTGTGAACACAGTTTCTAAAATCCTTCAGGTTATGATCAGAAGGTCCATAACTTAAAAGACACTTTTATTTATTATGAACTTAGGTACAGAATCCATGTTCATTAAAATAAAATAAAAGATCAACACACAATTTTATTCGATCCACAGGGCTTTCTTGTAAGCTATCTGATAAACAATTATTTCAATAAATACTAAGAGATTTCAACGTATGGATACAAACAAGTATGTAAACAAGTGAACTTTAATATTTGTAGGAATATAAATAAATTATATATATGAATACTGTAAAGCATATTTAGAGATAGAAAAGTTGTTTAAATAATTCTTAAATTCTTAAATAATTATTTTTAAATGTCAGACTACATCTTCAAAAATCTCCTTAGTCAAAATATTTTCATTAATCAGCAATGTGAATAAAATATATGGAAATGACTTTAATATATCCATTCGTAGTGCTTTCTAGAAATTAATTCTATTCTTGTGTCATTGATAAGAAGGAAATATTGACAAACCTCATATGTTGCCGGGCCTGGAGTAATCTCTTTGGACTCTTCAAAGCGCTTTGATGCTTTCACAAATAAGGGTATGGGGCAAGATTTCCTTAAAACAGGATTGTATGCTGCAGGACCTGAGAGATAACAAATGTAAAAATTATGATAAAGTATGTTTTAAAATTATTGATTTTGGTCATATGAATATTAGGTTTGTGCTCTGAATGTATAAAATTAGCTTTCATTTGAACCCATTATTTTTGAACGCTTAAAATCATTTGGTTTATGTCTTTGAAATATGATAAGCATAAGGTGGTGGCATCTGTTTACCTAATAATTAAATATATTACAGCAATAATTTCCAGAAAAGAGAAAACAGCAGTACTCTCTCAATACACTTTTACATCATGAATGAAGATGCTTCACTCCTATATCCTAAATATTCATTCACATGTTCAGTGAGGAGTTAGGGCTTGAACTGTATTTGGAAATACAGCAGAAAGGTGCTTTAATAGCATTCTGGGCACTAAACATTACAGAAATCAAAACACAAAGAAAGAATGTACATGGAGCAATCAAACGTAGTAAACAGATGGTTTGCATGGAACAGGGCCTAATCCTAAATAAGGATTTCGGTACTTAAGCCAATGGGTTCCAATTTGTATTCTTTAATGCCCCCAAGTTCTTACAGAAGTGACCAGAGGATAATTTGTAGGTAAAGTCCAAGTAGAAAATATTTGAATTATTTTCATTCACAACATCTCTAAAAACTTTTGAGAACCACTTTCATAGACAATGGGTAGCTCTTAAAGGTTTTAGATTAAATAGTCATGAAAAGTAGTAGTTTAGAAAGTAAATTCTGGCAGATTCTTGATTCTCATGAAGAGTGTACAACCAAGATCCCTCGCATGTGCAGTTCAGGATAGGGTTCGAGCTCCCATGAGAATCTAATGTCAGGCTGATCTGACAGGAGATAGAGCTCAGGCAGTAATACTCACTTGCCTTCTGCTCACCTCCTGCTGGGCAGCCTGATTCCTAACAGGCCATTGACAGGTATAGGTCCTTGGCCCAGGGATACAGGACCCTGTGGTCTAGTGAATGGAACCTAGCTAGTACAACTTCACAGAGAGAAGACAGGGAGAGGTAATTTTTTTCCTCATTCATATTTTAAACAATACTATTGAGTGTTTATCACATGCCAAACCTTGTGTTTCAAGAGAATGTTAGAGGTATACTATATCAAATGTTTCAAAAGGAGAGAAGACTTAGGAAGGACACTGTAGAATATGTGGAATATAATTTTAGAAGAATGGTAGTGAAAGAAATTGAATTGGGGGCATCAGACAGACAATGTATGGGGAGAGAAAATAAAACCTTTGGTCATAGAATATTGACAATAAATATAAACAGTGAAATAGAAGACTGGATATAATGATATTAATAAAATACAAAATTAATTTCTCTATATTTCCCTAATAAGCATGCGATTCAATCTACCTACTTTGGCAAATACATTCTTGTTGATGCTTTAAAATCTAAAATATTTTAAAATTAATAGGTTCGTATGAAACATTTTAAATGTTTTTAGCTTCATTAATATAGGACATTTCAAAATTTAAGATAAAGGAGGACATCTAGGCTCTAGCCCAATCATTCTAATATCAGCTCAATGAAGATATAGGTATCTAAAATTCTTTGTGAGAAGCTAATGTATTTTGATATATCAAGTGAAAAGTTGGTATTTAAAATAAAGGAGGACATCCAGGCTCTAGCCCAGTCATTTTAAATTAGTTCAATTAAGATATAGCTATCTGAAGTTCCTTGTGGGAAGCTAATGTGTTTTGATATGCCAAGTGATAAGGAAAGTGTTTTTGCCAATGTCACCTTACTATAAAACAATAGCGTGCACAACTTTGGAATAATATAATTTATATTTACAGTGCAGAGGAATAATGCACATATACATACATAACATCTTTACTGACAGACATTCATACACAAACTATGCAAGGGAAAATATATCATCAACCACAGTACTCAGAATAAAAAAAAAAACACAAACTATCATCCGAAGCTGGGTATATCATTATTCCATAGTCAGTTAATTGAAAACTGTAGTTTTAACCATAAAGATTTATAAAGGTTAATGCAACAGGTAAGGTTATTATCCAAAACACTATTGTAACTGTATCTTTCATTTTCAATTGTGAAGAAATATAGTCTATTCTCTGCCCTTACCATCAGGCTACAGCAACTGATAATTATTTACATTCATAGTTATAACTCATTAAAAGAAAATAAATTATTCAAATGCAATTGTAGATTTCTTTTTATTGGAATTCCTTTGAGGAACATTATGTGAAACAAAACTTCTCAATATGCATCTTGCTGCATTTTGGCACTTAGCCTGCTTTAAGCTACAGAATATTTTTTAAATTAAAAAAAGGCTTATCATACTCAGTCTTAAAATATATTTTCAATTACATACGCTATTGCTTATATGATACAGGTCAAAGACTTACATTGCTTCATCAGCTCTGATTCACAGCTAGATTATGCAGAAACTATCTTCTTTTTAGATACCAAAATGTCACATTTTAATCACAGGTCATAAGGAAGAAAACTTCTCATTCCAAATCAAACACCTATGAAAAGTCTGCCTGAATCATGGCTAGTATATAATGGGAAATTCAAGAGTAGGTGATTCTTATAATTGCATATTTTTCAGCGCTGTGCCAACTCAGTCTCTATGAAATGTCAACCAATGCTACAGGGCAAAAATGGAACGTAACAGGAACAGTGAGTAATTTAAAACAAAAACCTATGTTTCTGTCCCTTCAATATGAACATCTTCGTACATTAGAGTGGCCTCAGAAAAAAACAACTTCTATAAATAAAGCTACAAAATCTCAGATTTCATAAGTTGTTTGCTTTATAATGAGCTAAAATTATAAATAATGTAATAATTCTTGCTATGAATACTTTTTTTCATGTGAAGGTGACACAAATCTACTAACAATTAAATATCCCATATATGAGCATACTAAAACCCTGGAAGAAAACCTAGGCAATATCATTCAGAACATAGGCATGGGCAAAGACTTCATGACTAAAACACCAAAAGCAATGGCAACAAAATCCAAAACTGACAAATGGGATCTAATTAAACTAAAGAGCTTCTGCAGAGCAAAAGTAACTATCATCAGAGTGAACAAGCAACCTACAGAACGGGAGAAAAGTTTTGCAATCTACCCATCTGACGAAGGGCTAATACCCTGAATCTACGAAGAATTCAAACAAATTTACAAGAAAAAAACAACCCCATCAAAAGGTGAGCAAAGGATATGAACAGACACTTCTCAAAAGAAGACATTTATGTGGCCAACAAATGTAAGAAAAAAAGCTCATCATCACGGGTCATTACTGAAAATCAAATTTAAACCACAATGAGATACCATCTCCATCTCATGCCAGTTAGAATGGTGATCATTAAAAAAATCAGGAAACAACAGATGCTGGAGAGGTTGTGGAGAAATAAGAACACTTTTACATTGTTGGTGGGAGTATAAATTAGTTCAACCACTGTGGAAGACAGTGTGGCAATTCCTCAAGGATCTAGAACCAGAAATACCATTTGACCCAGCAATCCCATTACTGGGTATATAATCAAAGGACTATTAATCATTCTGCTATAAAGACACATGCACACGTATGTTTATTGCAGCACTGTTCACAATAGCGAAGACTTGGAACCAACCCAAATGCCCATCAGTGATAGACTGGATAAAGAAAATGTGGTACATATACACCATGGAATACTATGCAGGTATAAAAAAAGGATGAATTCATGTCCTTTGCAGGGGCATGGATGAAGCTGGAAACCATTATTCTCAGCAAACTAACACAGGAACAGAAAACCAAACACCACATGTTTTCACTCAGAAGTGGGAGATGAACAATGAGAACACGTGGACACAGGGAGGGGAACATCACACACTGGGACCTGTGGGGGTTGGTGGAAGGCTAGGGGAGGGATAACATTAGGAGAAATAGCTAATGTAGGTGACGGATTGATGGGTGCAGCAAACCATCATGGCACGTGTATATCTATGAAACAAACCTGCACGTTCTGCACATGTATCCCAGACCTTAAAGTACAATTTTAAAACAGGGGTTAAAAATCATTTAGGAAATTGTCCATTGAAATTTCATGATTTTAAAATGTCATTTAGAAAGTTTATACATTTATGGAACACATTTTCTCATGCTGATCATACTGATTTTATTCTTCAGCTTTACAAATGAAGTAATAGCAAAGAGAAAAGACTAGTACACAAAGAAGTATCATCATCAATGCCAGAGACACATTTAGGTTTAATGTTCTTCCACTACCTCTAAGACTAGATTTGATTAAATGGCACTTCAGATTATGACCACAGAACTGCACAGTCTATTAAATTGAACTATAGGTAACAAGAGAAAAAAGAGTCCCAATACTACAGAAATTTTAAACAAAATATCCATGTTTATTTTCGCCATCCCCTTAAATTATCTGTTCAAAAACAAAATTACATATTTTACATATTTTATTGTAATTATGCAATTAAAATGTTACATATTTTAAGAAATAAGATTTTACATATTCAAGGATATCTTAAAGTTATTATAGAGTATCTGGAAGTTATCGTGTACAAAGTCCCTAAGAAATTGACTATTTTCATGCACTCCAAACTAAGTAGACTGAGAAATTCATCTCCTGACATCTACCTAAACCATGCACCTGTTAAAACATGTGTTCCTAGAACCGATTAAGCTATAAGACTGTCACTGTTACAACATATAAATATAAAATCATATGGATTTGGCTGGACTGAAATATCTCTTCAGACAGCAATGTCCGTTTATCTGTGTACCTCTAATACATACTTATCAAAATGTGCATCCATAAGCTCTGTCAAGTGAAGTCTTTCAACTGCTGCTACAAAAAAGATCCTTCCACTCTGTGATAACGTAAGTACATTGTAGGTAAATTTGAATAACTTTCACCAGTCATAAATGTGAGTGTAATACAGTTTCTGTGTGAATTATAGGAACCAGCTGGAAGGAAGGATAATCACCCTTCACCTAAAACCATTTT